GCTATCGTTGACTCTGTGTATCATTCTCTTCATGTTCCTCTTTTAAATTTAGCCGGGTCTTACGTTTCTGTCTACATGCAGAGATTTTTTACGCATGGATTTATTTGCAGGGATTACTTCCCATTACAGACGCGCATATGATGACTGCATATAAAGACTGTTCAACTATGTATTTATTTTATTTATACATGCATTGCATTTTATCTATATTTTAATTTTATGACTGCCGGAGGTCTTTCATGGAAGCTGCTCTCAACCTGGTGTTGAGGGCAGCCTATTATTCTACCTCCCCTTACCCCATTGCATATGGGAATATGGTTTGTTATTGTTGTATAAGAGTTAAGATTGAGGCCAGCAGAATGGGCCATACCAAATAATGGTTGGCATCCGGTCTTGCTTACCGAGCAAACCCTTGAGGAAGGGGCCCAAAAGGCGAAGAATAACCGACCAAACAATACCCCCCATGAATCATACCCGTTGTTGAAGGCATCCGAGATCCTGACCACAACACCGATTATGTTTATGATCAATAGGTGGTGGGTGGATGAGCAAGGATGTCCACTTGAAGAGGTAAAGCTCGGAAAATTCACCATCATCAGCTGCTTTAGAGGTTATAGTGAAGCTTGTACTGACACCAACCAGAACCTTTAATAAACCCTGAAAGAGGGCAAAAAGATGTGATGAAACACCTCCGATCACCCATAACTGCTTATTCGCCACCAGTCACCAATTGCACATCACCCCACTGCATCTCGAGAATACCGGTGGTAGCAATCGATGTGAAGTGCCATGAATATAAGATTGGCATAGTTACTTATCTGCAAGTCAAATCCAGGATTTCCATGTTAGACAAGCCATAAGTAATTAGTAATCCACAAACTATAACTTGGAAAGATATAATCCAAAATCATATTAATCATGACATGGTTGACCAATCAGTAACACATCTACAACTTCAATTATGACACTGCATTAGCATATGGGCACATTTCAAGTTTCAAACGGTTTTCATTGTTGTAATATCAACTCAAATGATTATCAGGAATAAATCTCTCTGAAAGCTAGATCTCAATGTTAGAACAGAGCATAGAACAGACAGGTAATTCTTACAGCCGGAACAATAACTTCCCAGTAAGGGACAGATAGCTGGAAAGTACAGTAAACAGCAATGAATAGAGGTCCATGGATACACAACCGAGTTTATGTAGGAAAATCGTTCCAACCATTTCAATCCACCCCCATATCCATATACCAAATGGGACAGTGTCTACTAAGAAAATTTTAACAGATCCAAGAGCCCAACGAAGAACTTGGTGCAGACGATCTGAGAGATTATAGGTGCCGAACCCTAAAAGCAGGTCATTTAGGTATGCAGTACACAGATCGCCAGCCATGACAGTGCATCTTGAATCCTGTTAGGATATCCTCAGTAACAGACCCATATATCCAGCCAACCTGGTTTGCAAGTGGAAAATTTGATGATTATGAGATACTATCAATTACAACTAGCTGATATTAAAGTATTTAGATTGTTTTTCTGGTTTACTCACTTCCTTCCCCATTCTGTTTTATCTTCATAACCGCAACTTATGACTAGGATTGCTTCTCTCAATAATGATGCAGCGCTTGCAGTTTGAGGAACTCCACCATCCTCCAGAAGAGCGGAAGCCACAAACACAGGAAACTGACCAAACTTCTTCTCTAGTTTTATTTGTGATGCCTCAGATGACTTCAGAGAGTTCTACTCTGACAGTGTTACACACAGAATCCAGTTTAGCTATAATAAAAATTTAAAATAAATATAAAAATCTTATAAACGCATAACAGGATTAATGGAACATTCAGTTTCCCCCTTGTAAAGTGGGCCCTTACCCGAAATTCCTCCATCGATGTTTTCAAGAGCATGTATCTGCTTTGAAGCTTCCCTTTGCTTAGACTTCTTTATCCTCCCTTTTTGTTTTGTTTTCTTGTTCTTTCTAGAACAACAGCAGAGGCAGCAGCACCATCTTGGCAAACAGTTGCAAGTCTTGCCAGGAGGCTTCTTGGTGACAGGTGCATCATAACCGTAAAGTGCTTGCCTTCTGAAAACACACCCTGTTCCAACATATAAAGGTCCTTGTATGCCATCTAATCCTTTCATGTTGATCTGATTTAGATTTATGAGATTAGGTTTTGAAAGATAAAAATAACAGATAATAAATAGGGAATAAATGAAATAACCTTACATCGAAAAACACAACATTTCGGTTTGAGTATCTATCATGTCAATCAATTCCGTCAAATCTTTGAGGAAACTGCACATAACATACTTTCTTCCCTGATGCGGGTCCATCATAAAACACATCGCTTCTCTAAGTGCTTTGCTATTGTTAATATAGTGATCACAGTCAACGTTCAGAAGATAAGGAGCATTTGAGAGGACTGCCGAGACTCGTATCTTCCACACAAACAATTGAAGTCATAAGTTTGAAACCATGTTTACCAAAAGAGTATGAAAGGAAAGAATGTGTGCCTTACCAAAGCATTCATGGCCCCAGCCTTTTTATGGTGCTCAAACCCTGGCCTCTTCTCAAGGGAAACATAAACTAGGTAACTCATTTCCTTCCAGATCGCGCACACCACTGTGACCAAGGAAAACCTGCCAGGAGACAAATATTAGTTATAGTGTTGCAAATAAGAACATCAATAAACTCATCAGATATAATAGTTGCCTTAAATCAAAATAGCAAGCAGCTCAAAGTCGCTACAAATTCTGTCTCAGGATTACAGTAAGTAAACAATAATTTGTCTTGTAACAAAAAAATTCAAAAAGTACTCAAAATAAATAAGGATGAGGCAAAAATCTACTCATGAAGTAGGTGGCAAAAATGAATCATGAATTACTTTCACAAATCACAAATAAAATAAACCTATTTTACAATCGAACATCAATGCAAAAGTCTCTCCTACATCCACAGCCACAAGAGACAAAACAAAGAAATAGTTAACAAGATTGATTCATTTCATCAAAAAAGCATCTATCCTAAGGTAGTGTTTTCCTGAACAATACGCAATTGCTCTGCATTACAAATAATAATAATGCAAGTCAAAAGCAACAGAATCTCACCTGAATCACGCCAGGATGGTCACGAACACAGTGTCCAGGCCACGGAGTTCCATCCTGCATATTCCAACCATCCTCAGGAACCTTCTGCGCTGTGGAAACCAATCCATTTATCCTAACTTTAAATTCTTCATACTCTCTCTGTCCATCAGATGATATACTAGAATAAATTATCCTTTACAATATCAAAAGAGAAATCATAATGCTAAATTCCATCTCAGATTGATTAGAAACTGCAGATGATTTAGAGCTTTAAACATAATACTTGGATAGAACACATTTTACAATGCATGACAAGAATCACACCTTCATTGCTCGTCTTTCCCTTACAAAAGCTGGATGGACTTTGTTTTTTAGGTAGTCTATCTTCTGAGAGAAATACCACTCGGGTGCACGGGGCTCGATATTGAACTTTTTACAGAAAGGAACCCATTTCCTAGCAAATTCAGAAGTCTCTGAGAGAGCTTCAAATGTGAGCATGGCAGCACCATCATCTGATACATAGCATGCGACTTTATCGACAGGATAATCAACAGCAAGGATGGACAGAACAGTGTTTGCAGTGATCAGTGGAGGTTCTTTCATTGGATCAACTGTACTCACAAAAATGTCAACACTAGCTAACTCTGATAACTTACCTTCTTTCTCATACCTGTGCATAAAGGTAAAATTAGCACGTGTCACCTTATTCATATAGCATGTAGGTACATTAAACAAGGAGGCAGAAATCTGAATTCATGACAAATAATCATATAAAAACATAAAGCACCACTAGTGGTAGGCACCACTACAAACCTCAGAGATAGTCGATCAAGGTATGTTTCACGCTATATTGGGTACCATTTTGGGATTGATCCAGAATCCACAAGACAGCAAACCATATTTCACAAATTACAGATGTCAACCACAAGCCATAAGCGTCCCTGACTGGATGCAGAAGTCGGTAGTGAAAAAAGAGGCCAAGAATTGCAAGACGGAGTATGATAATCATTCTGTATGGATTTATCTTGCTTGAAGGTATCGGTAGCTTCCTTGAAAGTGGTTGCCTGCCTTCATCCATCCTGAAAACACTTTTTCAAATGACGAACGAATTATTACAGTCACTCGCTGCAGGCCACAACCAGCTGTTGTTGCAGATGACAATTAAAATATCTAGTTGTATTTTGCACCTCTATTGTATTTTATTTATATTGAAGGCAAAGTTGTATTTCTCAAGCTTACTCGTATATCCTTTGGCATGATCATGACCAACCATAGTATTAATATTATTCCACCTATATTGTATTCCAATGAATCAAATTACCAAATCGCTTAATAGCTATTTTCTTTTTATAATCAATTCCCAACATAAAGTAAATCCATTTAATGAACCAAATGTGTCGTTAGGCTTTACAAACAGTGAACATAACATGCGTAAAAAAAGGCTGGTTAGGCAAAACAACGAGAAGATTTCAATGTTTCTTACAGTGAAAGCAAAAGCAAGTATTTGTACGATATGATCCAAACACTGATGAATAGGTAAATTATCCTGAAAATTCAGCAGTACAAGAAGAAGCATTCGGAGAATAAATGAGCTCGTAATTTTGAAATGACAGATGCATCTACCAGATCCCAGAAGAAGATTGAGCCATCCGCAGATCCACCAATTACATGCGCGTCACTGTTGGTTAGGCAGCAATCCATTTTGTAGGACTATTGCAGAATAACAAAAAGCAAATTACCGCAATTCATGAGAGTAGAAAACTAAAGCGCTTGGCTGAAACATATCCTTTATATTCAGAACCCTTTGGATTGATAATCAATACTTGAAGGGGGATAAACTAGCTAAAATTAAAGGCACGATAAAAAGATTGCAAGATAGGATAAGGCCTGCATTCTAACTTTGCAAGCATGTCCTTTATTCCTGCAATAGTTCACCAGTGGACCTGCCATAGGAGAAACCCAGATTCAGGGGCATTCAAAGCTAGGTAAAATTTTGCAGAAAGAATCAAATTACATTGAAGGCTTTACCTGTCTAAAAGTCGTATACGTGAATCCAAGCAACTGGCTAATATACAGTTACCGTCATTTGACATCGAGAAACAGTTGACAGGTTGCCCTAAGTCATCTGATATTTCTCTACAGTAAAAAGCAAGGAAATCATTTAATGGATATTCAGTGTCATAATTCAAGTTAGAACGTAAAGGAAAACTCTACAGAATCACTTCTGCCACGCACCGACCAAGTCTTGGTTAAACAAACAGACATAACAGTGTCCAAAAACGAGTCAATTATCTGCATATAGTAGCGAACTTTAATTTGATAAGCTATTATACACAATAAAACGCATTCGTAATATATATAACAATATAAAGTAGACAAATTTAGAACCTGTATGGGTTCAGTGCTGTGAGACCTGCAGTCCCAAGCACGCAATGACCTATCATAACCTGTAGATACTACCACAGATGCATACTCGTTAAGCTGTACCGCATTCACCTAGGAAATATATTAACACAAAAGTGGAAACATCAGAAAACAATTGACAAAGACTTCAAATGTAGGTTTGCTCAAATTATTAGTTTTATTACTACCTTTTTTTTCATAAGCCAAAATTTAAATTTAAATTTAAAAACGAGTTGTAATAAATTTTTTGAAGAACTAAACAATACGCATTTCACTTTCATCAATTTCCAATTATAAACAATAATTATTACGGAAGCTACACGTTTAGTATTAAAATATTATTTTTGTTCTATTTTGATAATCAAACTTTACTTTTTTCATGACCATACCTAGCATTCTTGGTGATCAATTAATAGAATTATTGACATTACATTTTTTATTTTATTTTTTTCAATGATGAAGTCGCGTTAGCTTTTGATGAAACGTCAAGATCAACGTTAGTTATGATTTTAAAAAACAAAAACAAAATGTGGGTACCAAAAAAGATCAACACTAATAATTTTGGTACTAAAAGTGTAGTTTACCCTATTTATTAATCTACATAATAAACATGGAAGTAGCAGAAGGAAAAACCTCGCCATCATGGCCGCGAAACTTGCGAATAACACGATCGGTGGAAACATCCCAATAGAAAATATGTCGGTCTCCGACGCAAGAGCACAGCTTGGAGTTATCTCTACAGGAAAGGACATATTTGTTAAAGTTTAGAACGAAACCTAAGAAAGGGATCGGGCCGGAATGATGATGAAGACTAAGAAAGGGATCGGGCCGGAATGAGGATGAAGACGAGTGCTGGGTGACGTGGACATCGCGAACTTCGCGGCCGTGAGATTTGTAAGTTTTGATGTGGATGCCGCGGTGAGGGTTCCAAAGACGGATAGTGCGGTCTTTACCGCAGCTCAGGCAATAGTTGCCGTCGCTGTTGAATCTCGCCGCTAATACTGCACCTTCGTGGCCTTTTAGCACGTTGGCTTCTTTCCTGGGTCATTTTTCTCTTATTTTTCCCCTTGCCAACCCCGGCCATGGTTTCGATTTTAGTATTGTGCCTTCCAGAACTTGAGCCAAATTTGTTCCCCTAAATAGTAAGGAGTGACGGAAGGAGGGAGACTTCGAACGGATTCTGAGCTTGAGAGAGTTTTAAACTTTATTTGAAGAAGGAGAAAAATGAATAAATTGATATTTTTCTAAAATTAAAGAGTCGAATAATTTTTACTAATCAAAATGATGGAAGTTGACTGCTCAATGATTAAATTGTAAATTGTAATAAATAGATAACGTAAATAATTGTAAGATAACTGGCAACCACTCTTGGTCTTCTTCATGCAGGCAGCAGTTACTCAGTTAAACAAACCCCATCATCTTCCCTTAATTAATTCATATTGATCTTCACTTTAACTCCTTACTTATAGTCTTCTCGTTACTCTCTAATATTCTCCTATAAATGATCTCCCACCCTCACTTCACCTTCAACGTGTTTGCATATATGGCTCTCAAAACTGTGTTTCTGGTTGTGGTCCTCGTGTGTTTCTTATCTAACGCAACTGCAGCAAGGGGACAATCCAGGTCCGAGTACAGCAGGCCAGGCCATAACATTGCATCCAGGCTCCAGGCTAGTGGAGGCCTTGCCGAGTGCTGGACTGCACTCAATGAGCTGAAATCATGCACCAGTGAGATTGTTCTCTACTTGGTTAATGGACAAACCGATATAGGACCCGAATGTTGCCGTGCTGTCGAGATTATTACTCGAAACTGCTGGCCTTCCATGCTTACTTCCCTTGGTTTCACTCCTGAGGAAGGCAACGTTCTTAGAGGCTACTGTGATGCATCTTCTGCTCCTGCTGCTGACCCTCCACATGCTACTGTTCACTAGCCTTTAATTAAAGGTCTCATTGAGCAGATTGTTGTGCTATTTTGGGGCATTACAACGAGGCATCTTTATGGTGGATTCAATAATTTGAATTAATAAAAGAGTAGTTTATACTGCAAAGACCTTGCTTCTTGTTTTCATCGGGAACTTAAGATTTATGAGCTCTATCAAAAGAATATGAAGAAAAAAAATCCATCTAGTATAATTTGACTATGAACTGTTAATTAGTATTTCGACTTAATTTTTACGGCTTATGTTATGTGGTCAGACTCGGATACGAGTACAGATGCATACATGAAAGATCTTCTGCAAAACTGGTCCAAAAACACAGTAGTTGATGAACTAAAATTGCTTGTTCTAAACCAAGAAAGGTACTTGCATCAGAATTGAAGTTTTCTTCCCCTGGATGGACCTCATTTGTAAATTGAACACATTTCATAGGCACCAAGAGTAGCCTGACACTTGCATCCCCAATGCATATTTGAGCAGACTACTAGGATCATTCAAGTATGGAAAGAAGCTTTTAAAACAGAGTATACCAAATGACACATTCCATAAGAAGTCATCTTGGCTTGATCCGTTTGAAGATCTGAAGTGCATAAATAGAGCGATAATGATAAACCAGAACATAAATTTAAGGATACATATATAGCTAAAATGAATTAATCAAATGATGTTAAGCATCAAATGGAGGGAGGGCATTGGAATCATCACCCTCATCGTCGTCTCTGCCTACTTTTGTGCTTAATCCAAGATGTGCCATGATAAGGGCAACGTGAGTTAGCAGCTCCCCACCCCAATGCCTCAACTGTTGAGCATGTTCACTCCATGAACAACGCCTAGCGGCATGCGTCATCATCTCCATCCACACCTCGCTGATTATTTCCCATTTCTTATTAACACCACATTGCGTATACTTTCCAACTCCTGCAATTTCCGTGCAATTAAGGCTCCCTCAAGCAGTGCCAGTGCTCCAACTTTGTGGACTGGTGGTTGATAGGAATCAGACTGGTGTGGGTAGGCAACAGAGAGAAGCAGGTCCCTGGTAAATTGTTTCCGTCTTTTACAGAAGTTTTCCTTCGTTTCCTTATTCACGAAGCTCTGTGCTTCATGGTGAACCGTACGGTTTATCTCATCAGTGAACCCTTTACACAGCATATCACGCCCAGCTCAGGTACATCATATAATCAGATGGGGACTTACTCGATGATGATCATGATCATCGTAATAAGTAAGGTTCGTAGCTATGCGCCAAAGGAAGATGCTACGAACAAAATACGTTGGATCCATTCTGGGGAAGACGGATAAGAAATTCCCTTCGGATTCTGCCAAATTAAGATCTTTTTGAAGCATTTCGTTCTACTTCTGCTCCAAAACATGGTCCCCTTTCTCATTTAACAACCTCTCCAGATCATCCATTCTGAAATTATTGCACCTTTTGCGCTTATTTTGCAAATAAGCATCGATGAAGTTCTTTAAAGCATGATCAACCGGAATCCAGTTGGTGTAACCATACTTCTGCAGAAGGTTGCCAGTGTCAAAAAGCCTTATGGCTCCAGCGAAGCTACTTGTTTTGCCCTTGACACAATACTTGATTAGATCATGTTGCGCCATCGATTTTATTCCGGACTTGGCCTTAATACTCTTTAATCTAGAGGCAACAAATCTAACATACATCTTATCTACTTCCTTTTGAGGAATGGGCAGCAGGATCATTGCCTAGGTCGAGATAGGATGCATGAGAAACGAATAAACATCCAGAGAAATGGCTCCCATCAGCAGTAAGTAAGATACGCAGACGTCGATTGTCGAATACTTATGCCTAGCCACCACTGATGTCAAAGCAACCCATGAACAAATTGTGGAACCTAGGCCTGTAAACGAACCGAACGCACACGAACGGAGATATGCTCATGTTCTTTCATTTAATAAATAAACGAACACGAACATAAACGAACAATTTTTTTTTGTTCATGTTCGTTTATTAAGGAATATAACTTGTTTATGTTCGTTCATTTAATAAATAAACGAACATAAACAAACACGAACATAAACAAACACGAACATAAATGAACACAAACATAAACGGACATAAACGTTGGAGACACTACCTAGGGGTGTAAACGAGCCGAGTCGAGCTCGAGTATTGCTGAGCTCGACTCGAACTCGAAAACTCGCGAGCTTAAAATATCAAGCTCTACTTGAACTCAAAATATAATATTGAAACTCGACTCGAACTCGAAAAGGCTCGAACTCAAAAAAAATTAAGAGCTCGATTAAAACTCGAGACTCGAGTTCAATTCAAGCTCGATTCAAGCCCGATTCTGAGCTCGATTCAAGCTCGACATTGCCCCAAGCACAAAGATGCTTAAACCTATTCTCCCCCATCTTTTTTTTATATAAGTTACCAACCCCGAGCTGCTTGTTTGCTACTGATGTGGGATTGCATAACGTTCCTCCACTTTCTTTCTTCCTCTCTCCTTCAACAACAATCGAGATGAACACAGATTGTGTTTCATGTGATTGCCGACCTTAATCCTTGGGATCAAACAAACATGTCCTTAGCTTCGTGCTATGTAGAAGTTGAAAATTGGGAGATGAGAGAAGTAGGTTGGTTTATTGTTCACACCAACTCATACATCAAAAACCATTCTTTCTCGGCTGGCTAAACTTCCATATCCAGATGGCGCACAAAATTGGTTTGATGAAACGCGTTAAAGAACTTCTCAACCTATGGAATAAGGCCTCACCATTATTGGGTTCTTGAGTTCAAAGTAAGCTGACTTGAGTTGCTGGTTGATCACTATTTACTTGTAAATTCGAATACTCCATTATATATGAAAGAAAAGAAGATTATTTGAGTAGAAGAACCAGTGCTTAATTCTTAACATCCCTTACGGAATCCATCACCTTTGGACTTGGTTTCGAAAGCAACTGGTTTCTGGGACTCCTCTTTGCTCATCGGATAACAAGCTGGTGGTGCAGTCACATAGGGTTCCGGCACAGTGGATGTTGACGGTGCTGGATATGCAGCTTATAGATCATTCAAAAAGAACTAAACCATGTTAATATTGTTGGGTTTTCCAAATAAAATTGGGTTAATTATGGAGTTGGTCATCAGAATATAAGATTAATTAATATTTTTAAGATACTTACAAATTGGTCACCAAAATTGATTTAAGAAGATTGGTTAAACATAAATGAATGAACATAAACGAACATAACCGAACGAACATAACCAAACGTTCACGAACGTAAATGAACAAACGAGACCTATGTTCATGTTCGTTCATTTAATTAAACGAATACAAAATCTTGTTCATGTCCGTTCATTTAATAAATAAACGCACTTCCCGCCGCACGGTTCATGAACGGTTCGCTGAACTTTCAGTTCATTTACAGGCCTAGCGGAACCGAAACAGAAGCCTCGAAGAGCTAAACTCACTTTAAGGTTTCGGTATTGTATGGGGTTCTTGGTGAAGAACAGATCATAGACAGAACTTAGTTCAACATCTATAAAGTCGTTTTAATACGTTGTTATACACATTTATATTCTTTTTCTTTAACTAAAAAACAATATATTAATTAATTAAAATAGTCTTATGAAATACAATACAAATTTATTCAATGACTTCAATTATTGAAAGAAGTATTATCCTTCCTAGAGTTCAAACAAGTGTATCACCTCAAATGTTACCTCAAATACAAAATATTCTATTCGCCTCAAATTGGTAGTCACCAATTCTTTTACATTCATCAAAACAAATTCTTAATATTTGTCTTGGTGTATTTCGTAATCCTAAAACGTGACTTACATCTTCAAAGCCCTTTTTACTTGCATGATATAAATTATGGAGGCATATTATCAAAGTTTTCGTCAATCACTTTAAGAGTATTTCATTCTTCTATTCTTTTTCTAGACTACTTTGTCCTTCCACGCTTTTCGCTACTTATACGTATGAGTAGTCCACTAACCAAAATTCATTGTTCGACGCAGTTTTAGAGGTAAAATTTTGCTTTTTTTTTTCTCTTAAAGAAAACATGGAACTACAACCACCGACTCAACTGAATCAAATAAGTTCGATTCGATCTCCGATAGCTTATTGGATAGTCAGATCGATCAATTTTGATATGTTTAGCTAAATGAACCGAATAGGATCTTATCTTATGTAGGGATAGACTGAGGGGAACAGACAGATGATGACAACCTTCCTAAAATTTTAAAATTACCATATATTTTATTTTATTTTATATATTTTTATTGAAAACTATTCTGTCCTGCTGAAATTTTATAAATTAATTCCCTCCGAAAATTTCAAAAGTTCATCGCCTACTATAAAATCCTGCTTCTAAAATCTTGTATCGGTCCGTGTAGTCCTATCCACCATAGCTTGAATGTTATACAAAAGCCAATACAAGTGCAACAAAAAGTTAGCAGAATGCATGAAGAATGATAATGCGAAACCAACACGATTCAAGCCTCTATTCTTGACTCGCTGGATTTTTTCAAGCTACCTAAGATTCCATTAATCAGCTTATCTCTATCATTCTCCACCGAGTCTGCAACAAAAGTATACTTCTTCTGCACCCTTTGCTTCTTCACGCACTCCTCCAAACTATTTTCCGTCTTCAAGGCTTCTCCAGCAGCACCAGATGGCTTGACATTGTATTCGGAACGATCAACCAAAGCATCCGAGTCCTCCGAATTATCCGTGTCATCCTTACCTTCCTTAATACTGTACCACGAATCAAGGATTTGCAGCAAGGAGCTGTCTTCCTCATTCCTTCCAGGCTTCTGTTCTAGCCCCGATGGATCTGCAGTTGAGATGTCCCTTTCGGAATCAGAAAATTCATAATCCGAGAGAGAGGGAGAGTCGGGATGTTTTGTCTCAGTGTCCTCGGGTCTTTTGCTCCCTGATACTGACTGCATCCCGTTTCTGGTTGGATCCGTGTCGGAAACGGGTCCTAGTTCATCCCACACAGTGTCAAAATCATCATCTTTTGTTGTTGCAACATTAGGCAATTCGCCTAATGCTTGACTTGTATTTTCAGCTGTTTTCGGGCCAAAATTGTCTGGAATCATGCCTGCAGGAATTATGAAGCATGACTCTATTTTAATTCCAGGTATTTTCTCTAGCAGGTACTCCAACCTTCTGTAGCCAAGCCTTTGTACATAAAGAGGATAACCGTACCTCTCAAGGAACAGTTTCCTGAAGTTGCCCATATGATATCCTTCAGGGTGTTCCTTTAGTATCTCTTTAACTAGGTTGCGACAGTCGGACAATACTTCACATTTGGAACGGTCTGAAGATTTTGTATCCGGGATGGTAGATGAAACTTCAGTATGAGGAATATTCTGCAACATTTTCTCTCCTTTGTGTTCTGTCTGCAAGTTTGCCTGTGATGAAGTACGCAGAAAGATTGATCTCAACCCATTTGTAGCATGAGAATGATCCAAACTGAGACTCCTCCCAACAGCCTTAGTGACCTTAAACGGTGACTCTTGCGAGGGGCATTCTTCGATCCATTTCTTATCAGATATCAACAAATCCACCAAATGAAGAAGATCAGTTTTACTGAGAGATCTAAGCACCAATGGCCCTTCCTTGAGCAGATTTTCTGCCATCTCTTCCCTGCAAAAGTTTAACAGCCACTGAGACATGACTTCGTTAAAGCTCCTTCACCTTTTATAGTTCGAACACAAATTTCCAATTCAACATATTCATTCAAACGGGACTTGGAGGTGAATCATTCATTTATTTCCCTTATACCTAAGAAGGACAATCCGGAGGAGATGGAGGACTTTAGGCCTATTAGCCTTGTGGGAGGTTTATACAAAATTTTGTCAAAGGTCCTAGCTAGAAGATTCAGTTTGTGCATTAATGAGATAATCAGTCCATCTCAATTTGCGTTTATTAAAGGGAGGAATATTTTGGACTGTTCGTTTATAGCAAATGAAGGAATTGATTATTGGAGGAAGAGAGGATTGGAGGGGGTAGTCTTTAAGGTGGATTTCAAGAGAGCCTATGATTCGGTAGATTGGTTGGTTTTGTTGAAAATTATGGGTAAAATGGGGTTTGGTGAAAAATGGTGCTCTTGGATGTATCAATGTATGTCAACTGCTTCTTTTTCAGTTTTACTAAATGGAACTCCTACAGACAGAATTCACACTGAAAGAGGACTTAGACAGGGTTGCTCGCTATCCCCCTTGTTATTCAATTTGGGTGGTGAATTGCTTCATTTGTTGTTGACTAAAGCTGTGAATTTGGGATTGTTTTCGGGCTTTGAATTAGGAGTTCAAGAAAGTTCTTTCAAGGTATCGCACTTGCAGTTTGCGGATGACCTTATTATTTTTTCCAAAGCTTCAATCCGGGATTTGAAGAATATTAGAAGGGTGTTACTGATTTATGAGTTATTGGTGGGGCTGAAGATTAATTTAGTTAAGAGCAGAATTTTTGGAATAAATGTTGAGGAGGAGGTGTTAGCTGGTTGGTCTAATGAAATTGGCTACTCAGTGGGTAATTTTCCAGCAGAGTATCTAGGATTGCCTTTGGGGTCTAAGAGAAACTCTGTTGCAATGTGGGAGCCAATTATACAGAGATTTCATAATAAGTTGACTGGTTGGAAGGTAAATTCTCTAGCGTTAGCAGGTAGGGTGGTGTTCGTTAAAGCAGTGATGTGCTCCCTTCCCACTTATTTCCTTTCTATTTTTAGAATTCCAAAAACTGTGCTGCAGAAATTAAATTCGATCATGGCTGTTTTTTATGGGGGGTTCGATAGATAGAAGAAACATACATTGGGTGAACTGGAATTTGGTCAATAAGCCGAGAAGGTTGGGGGGTCTTGGGATCCCGAATTTAGCTATTCTGAACAGAGCACTGATGGGAAAGTGGGTTTGGAAGTTTGCCTCTGAAAAGGATTCTTGGTGGAAGAGAGTGGTTTGCTGTGTGAACAATTTGGATCTGAATTCCAAAATGTTGGGGAATACTTTGACAGCTCGAGCCTCTTGGATTTGGAGAGGAGTGATTAATAACTTCTTTTCTAGTGGCGAGTTTGGAGATTGCTTTAGGAGAAATATGTGTTTGAAAGCTGGAAACGGTCATTCGATGGAGTTTTGGCACGATGTTTGGTTGGGAGAAATCCCTCTTAAAGTCTTGTTCCCTAGATTGTATGCACTTTCAAATAATAAAGTGGGTAAGGTGGTGGAGTTTAGGGTGAATAATGTGGTAGGATGGGTGTGGGATATTCAAATGAGAAGAAATCTAGCGGATTGGGAGATTGAACAATGGTTGCAACTGATTTCTATGTTGAACAACATCTCACTATCTCTTGATGAGGACGATTACTGGATTTGGTTAGGGAATGGAGAGGGTTGTTTTTCAACTAAGTCTTGTATCAACAATTTTTTTGATACGGCTGGTAATCAGGGGTTTCAGGATAAGTGGGTCAAACATATTTGGGTCGGGATAGCTCCTCCACGTGTTGAAACTTTCATATGGCAAGTTGCTCATCAGAGAGTGGCGGTTAAAGAGGAATTGTTGAAGCGAGGAGTGGCTGGGATTGAAGACTCTTTATGTTTGTTGTGTGGCAGGTTTGTGGAATTTGTTTCTCATCTGTTTCTGCACTGTGAGGTAGTTTGGGGTTTGTGGGCTAGATTTACGAATTTGTGGAATGTTTCTTTGGTGATTCCTAATAACATCTTAGACTTTATTATTATGTGGGATGAGATATTACAGAATTCCAGTATTTGGAAATTTATCCTAAGGGCGGTGTTGTGGACTATATGGAAATGTAGGAATGAAGTTATCTTCATGAAAGGAAAGCTGGATGTGGTGAGGATGTTCTTTATTGCTCGATTTCGAATAGTCTCTTGGTTTATTGCTAGTTTTGATGCTGTGCAGATTCCTTTCGACTCTCTAGTGGGTGACTTAACTCTTGTTGATTCGGTTGGGAGACAGAAAAAAAGTGGATCCCAACCTTCATGTTGGGTTCCTCCTCCAGACGGGTTCATAAAGATTAATGTTGATGGGGCGATGGTGAGTGGTTGGAATAAAGGTGGTATAGGTGGACTCATAAGGGACAGCAGAGGTGTGTTGATTCACTGGTTCTCTAATAAGGTTGGGGGGTCCTCCGATTTTGGCAGAATTATTGGCGATAAAGAGGGGTTGTACATGTTGTCTAATTCAGGTGTTGACCTTAATAAGAGGATTATTTTAGAATCGGATTCAAGTAATGCTTTGAAGTGGATCAAGAATCCGGAACTAAGCTCCCCTATGTTTCTATCCTTGGTGAAGGAGATCGTTTCTATCCTTGGTGAAGGAGATCGTTTCTATAATGGAAGGGAAGGATATTATGTTAAGGCAAATCTTGAGAGCTGCTAACTGGGAAGCGGACAGACTAGCTAAGGATGGTATTGGATGATCGTTAGGCTTTGTTTTTGGTGTGTTAGGGTGTTAGTCTCCCTGGCATTTCTGCAGGGATTTTGTTTTCAGTCTTATGTAATCAGTGTTAAGGTTTCAGCAGTAAGAGGTGGTTAAGTCTTATGTAATTGGGTTAAGGCTTTTAAAGTATGATGTAAGGGATGACAGTGTATTATTCTCCTGATTAATAAAAGTAGTAGGCACTCTTTTCCCTCTTCCTTTGTCCTTCATGTTACTATTGCAATATGGAGGGCAAGTCGAGGGTTTTTAACGAGGCCTAATATTCTAAAAAAAAAACATATTCATTCAGATAGTGCATATGGCTTCCAACAAGGAATAACACATGCACAAAATGCGCTATTTGATCATCTTACATATTCAATCATGAGAGTTATTGACTCCTTGTGAAAGAGAAAACATAAAAACGGTCATTCTTGCTATTCTACTATCTTTCGCATATAAACAAACACCCTTCATCCGCCAACACACAAAAAATGCATGTTCTAACTACAGGATGCATTCAACATCAACAGTAAATAGATGCCCCTCTAGAACAGAACTAAAAGCTCAAACAAAAATTTGGCAAGTTCCTAACTATAGATATCAATTTTCTGTCAAATAAATGTGAGAAAACACGCAAAACACGACATAAAGAAAGCAACCATGATATATTACAGAAGTCGGGTAAATATGTGTGAATATAAAACAAAAAGTTAATGCCATTCTAGATTCCATAATGCGAGGAGTACATATAAAATTGTGTTAGCTAAAGAGACAAGAAGCGAAGTAACAGATTTTTATCAGCAAGGCACTTCGTAAAAACTAGAAGGTAAGAATTAGCAAACCTGGTCCTAGACAGCGTGACAAAAAGCGATCCCCTAGTTGAGTCTATTAAGATTTCCATGTTTTCCCAGAAGGATCCCCGAGTAAAGATTTCATGCTTTAAAGAGTTAGTGTCTGTTGGGTTGAACTTTTCTTGGGATTGATCACTTGATGTCTCAGAGTCATTGCTGCTTCTCCAAAATTTACACAAGCTGGCGATCCAGTTAAATAAACCTGACCTCTTACCAGAGTGGTTTTCACTTGCTTCATCAGCTGCTTTAGTGTCAATAGTAGAGTCATTACTTGGTGAAGAAATGGTAACTGGACATGGAACTTCACACGACTTTTCCTCACACTCTTTCTTAATTCCTTCCATCTCAGAGCTAATCCCAGTGCATTTTTTCAAAGTATGGTTATTTTGTTTCTCAGAGCTATCTTCAGAATCACCATGTTTTTCTGGAAGATTATGATCTTTTTCAGCAGGGTTACCATCGCTAACACCAAACCATCTTCGCCAAACTTTCCTTATGAAGCTTGCATCAGATGCAGAATCTTGTTCCAGCATGCGATCCTGAAGACTCTGGGGTACCTGATCATTAGATGCTTCAGCAATCTTCTGATCAACTGGAAGGGGCTGTTGGACTTCCTCTTGAGGTGTCTCTGCATCTACTTTTACACAGCTACCATTTTCTGGAGGGATTTCTTGTATCTTTCTAAGAGAAACTCCAGCCTTAACCTCAGGGGAATGACGCAACCTGGAATTTTCATTTAAAGCACCATCTACTGTCCTTTCATCACCGCTTGACCTACAAGAAACAGTGAACTCATCTCCAGTTCTACAGACAGGTCCAGCAGATAAACAAGGACTGCTCTTAGATAGTTCACCAGCTTTTGGGGTAATTCCATGTATAATAAACATACCATCACGTTCTGACTTAAGCCTCAAAATGTGTGGCATTGATAAAAGAAAGCGGGAGAACCTCTTATAACCATAAAAGTCTTTATCAAGGTCAACCTTGCTTTTTCTCAGCTCAGAACGAAGGTCTGTAATGGAAACTCCCTTTGGGTATGAGTTCAGAATCTGCCGTATCTGCTTCATGACTGCCTTTGGAACTGGCCGAGGTATAGAATCTGAACAGCTCTCAGACGATTCTTCAGTCTGTTTGCATGCTGGTTGTTCAACTAAAAATGGATCATCAAGAGGCACCTTGTAATGGCCATACCAAGAACCATAAGGACCATCAGGAGGTTGGTTATAGTGCTTTCCAGTCAGGTTCTCTCCTGTGAGCAGCAAATTCCAATTCCACATGATACTGGCAGCACTGCAAAGAACACTTGGAGCTGATTCTGATGTAGCAAGCAGAACATTGTAGTTGTTCATCCGTAATCTATGCAATACGCTAGCAAAGTCCCTGTCACCAGAGATCAAAAAAAGATGGGCAGGAGGAGGATTTTGAGAAACCCAACACAAAAGATCAACTAGAAGCGATCTATCAGCACTGTTTTTTCCACCTGCATTCGTTGAACATTTTCATGATAAATAACATGAACGGAGACGATACAAATTTAGAAAGGAAGGAGAAAATAACAGATAAGAACTGAATCAGTATTCTCTCACAAAGAAATTGTGTAATGGTGACACTTCATGGTAGTCACACCCCCCTTTTTTTTCCAGCTACGGCTTCCAGCAGAAAAAGAACAGCGTTTTTCTATGATATATTGAATTAGCTAAATCATTGATTTTAAAACTTAGACAGGTGAAACCAACTTGCTGCAAAAGGCACACTCAATTTACTAGGGTTCTAGTATCACTCAAGGGACAAAAAATTAATTTTCAAGAGCAATCAAGTCTAGGACTAATTTAGCAAAATCATTGCAAATACATACACGTAAAAATTAAATTTGTAGCATAAAACCAGAACTTAATGGAAGTCCCAGATCACAGTATCACAAACTAAACAGAATGGAAGTATCATTCTCAAATGTATGATTTTCTCTCTTTCCCCCCTCTTACTCAAACTTGAAACAAGCCTAGAAATGCGTCTTTCATAGATTCTTTTAAATGAACAGGGAGAGGGATGTTAAATTGATTAAAGTAATTGGTAAAATTTTAAATATAACACAGTTTAATTTGCACTAGACATTGATAAGGCAAGAATAATATCATAAAAGAGCATAGACAAAAAATACACAACCAATATTGCACTAAATTACTGCAGGAAAATAACCAATCAAGTGGCCGCGCTATTCTCCCTAGAGTTCCTCCGTTCGAGTAGCTACATCTATAGTGTATATGTTGTCAATACTTAAGAAATATTCTAATCAGAAACTACCTCGTACCGCGTACTAATAAAAAAGTAATGCAGGAAAAGCCCAACATTGCACTAAATTCGTGAGTTCAAACAATCACTAAATTCTCAAAAAAAAACCCAATTTGCCAACTTAAGTGAAAATTACCATTGGGAACATGGGAAAGATTAACTCCAGTGGCAGAAAGCGCCTCCTGGTTAGTTCGAGAGAGTTGGGAAATATCCCCGAAAGCCGTAATCTGAACAGGGCCCTTAATTCCATTGGTCCTGACGGCGGAAGTAATCAACTGAGCAATCTTAAAGGCATTGAAACCCGCAGGGGGAGAGCAGTTCTCAAAATCCCACCAAACCGAAACCTTAACGTGCCGTGAAGCTTCCTCATGGCGCCAAGACGAGGAATGGGGATGCGAAGGCTGGGTTTGGGAAGTGGAGAAATGAGAAATGAAGATTGACAGTGAATGTGAAGGTGGAGAAGATGAAGAGGAAATGAGGGTTCTGAGATGGTAGGGTTTAAGGTTCATTGCTTATGGCAAAAATGGGATTTTAGGAGGAGATCCTGAGGACTTTAAACCCTTCGATTTCCTTTTCTGAAAAAAGGAAAGGAAAATCATTCGCGGTGTGTTTGGGCTTCGTGTTGGGAAACTCAAAGCTGTCTGTTTGCTGGGTTTCAGCTTGAGCCCGAAGTACTAAAAGAATTAAACTTAACTCGTATGACAAAAAATTAAGAAAACTTATGATGAGGTATTTTCTTTTTATCTTGAATAATTTGATACTACCTGTCACGGGCCTAGATTGTTGCTAGCAAGCTGGTGCGGCCTTAGTCGTTTTCAAGGTCGAAAATCGGCTAAGTAACCCAAACTTCCACTAAGCAAGAAAGCTTAGAACGTTGGAAAAACAAAGGAAAAGGGGAAAATAGAAAGATTAGCGCACAAATGGAGAAGAGAGAGTTTAGAGTGAATGCTAACTTGTATTCCTCAACATGAAGTGAGCAAATGAGGTGGGGGTGAGCCTCCTTTTATAGTTGGAGCCCCTTATAATCAACGGTTAAGATTAAATTACATCAATGGTCAGAAGAGAGCCTTACTCTATATACAACTCTAAATTAAAGAATAATTAGTGGGAATTATCTCTAAGATAATTTCAAATAATTATCATGTCTTTTCTCTCTCCAAGGTGGATGGGCCAGCTCTGTTGGGTCTTTTAGAAGGCCTAAAACGTGGGAAAGATAGTCTCTGGTAGCCTTGAACGAACTGGGCTCGGTCTTGGGCTGGCGGTCCGTGACATTCTCCCCCACTAGTTCTAGCGATGCCCTCGTTGCGCGGCTAGAGTGAAATTGGTCTATCTTATCTCGGAATTGTCACAAGGCTTCGGAAGGTTCCCAACTTCCCTCACTCTCTGGAAGTCTCTTCCACTGAACAAGGTATTCATCCCTTGGTCGCTTTCCCACTCTATGAACGACTCTCTCTGCGTGGATAGCTTCTAATTCTCTCTCGTAAAAGACATTTACCTCGACTGGCGCTCGATTTGACTTGCCTCAATTTGGCTCATCCTCATCCTGATGGTACGACTTCAACAAACTCACATGGAACACATGATGAGCTCGGATGGTCGAAGGCAACTCCAATTTGTAGGCCATGGTGCCTACTCGCTTCAAAACTTTGAACGACCCCTCGTATCTTCGCACAAGGTCTTTATGATATGGGTTGCGCAAGATACCACTCAATTTGGCAAGGACTAGGTCGCCAACCTTAAAATTTATGTCTCAACACTTCTGATCCGCCCACTTCTTGGTTCGCTTACCGGACTTGTGCAAACAAGCTCGGGCTAGTTCATGTTGTTCTTGTCACTCATTGGCAAATTGGTATGATATTGGATTCGACCGTTTGAACCTGGTCACAACTGCATTTGGTGTGAGCGGCTGCTGCCCAGTAACAATCTCAAATGGAATCTGATTTGTCTCTTCACTCCTCTACAAATTGTAGGAAAACTGGGCTATGTCCAACAATTTTGGCCAATCACGTTGGGTGGCACTCACATAGTGCCTCAAGTAGGTCTCTACGAGTGCATTCACTCTCTCGGTTTGCACATCTATCTGTGGATGAACACTCGTCGAGAAGTTCAAGCTTGATCTCATCAACTTGAACAACTCCTTTCAGAACCTCCCAATAAACCTTGTGTCCCAATCATTGATAATCGTCTTTGGAACACCTCGGTACTTCACCACGTACTTGAGAAAAAGACGAGCGGCCTCCTCAGCTGGACATACTTTGGATGCTGGAATAAAGGTTCCATACTTGGAAAATCTATCAATCGCGACCATGATGTTAGAAAATCCCTCGGAAACAGGCAAACCGACAATGAAATCCATGGAAAGACTTTCCCATGGTCACTCAAGGATAGACAGAGGCTGCAACAATCCTGCTAGTCTCCTTTGCTATATCTTGTCTTATTGGCACACAAGACAAGTCTTCACATAGTCCTCGACATCATTGCCCATGTGCGGCCAATAATAGTGCTCTGCTATCAAGGCTAAAGTCCGGTGGATCCCCAGATGTCCCGCCCACTTGGAATCGTGGCATTCCTTCATGAGCTCATTTCGCAATCCTTCAAATTGTGGCACATAGAGGCGGTGTCCTCAAGCATAAAACAAGCCTCCATCGAGCCAAAACTTTTGAGTCTTGCCCTTATTGGCAAGCTCAATCAATGAAGTTACCATCGGATCATGTGACAACCCCTTCTTGATGCGCTCTCGCATCTGTCCCGTCGTTAAACTCACAAACTCAATGTTATACCTTCGACTTAAGGCATCAGCCATGGAATTCACCTTCCATGGTTTGTGCTCTAAGGAAAAATCAAAATCGGCAAGTAACTCTTGCTAACGAGCTTGCTTCGGTGACAACTTCTTCTGGGTTAAGAAGTAACTGTTGGCAACATTGTCTGTAAACACCACAAACTTTGACCCAAGCAAGTAATGTCGTCATGTGCGCAAACATTGCATAACCGTCGTCCTCTATTTCTCATGGACAGTGTATCTCCTCTCGGTCTCATTAAGCTTCCGATTTTCATAAGCAACCAAATGTCCCTCTTGTATCAGGACCCCACCAATGGCAACGTCGGACCAAAATTGGCTCGCTTATCATAGCAAGCTTGATTTCGTCAAAGAAACTTTGATACTTCAGGGCCTCAATCCCACGCCTTGTCTTTATTCAATAACTCGGTCAATGGGGTGCGATCTTTGAGTAACCTTTGACAAACCTCCGGTAATAGTTGGTCAACCCCAGGAATGACCTCAGCTCCGTCACCTTGGTTGGCACCTGCCATTCGTCAATGGCTCGAACCTTGTCCCTATCTATCTATATCTTGCCACCTCTAACAATGTGGCCAAGGAAATGAACCTCCCTTTTAGCAAATGAGCACTTCTCTTCTTTGACAAAGAGCTCATTCTCTCGCAATACCAGGAACACTTACTTCAAATGTTCAACATGCTCCTCCAATGTCTTGCTATAGATGACGATGTCGTCGAGGTAGACTACAATGAATCAATCCAAAAAGGGTTGCAATAACTTGTTCATCAGGGTGCAGAAAGTGATTGGAGCATTCGTGAGGCCGAAGGGCATCACAAGGTATTCATACGAACCGTACCTAGTCACACAGGTTGTCTTCGGTTCATCTCCCTCGACTATTCTTACTTGGTAATAGCTCGATCGCAAGTCTAACTTGGTGAACCACCTTGCACCACCAAGCTGATCGAACAAGTCCGCAATGAGAGGAATCGAGTACTTGTTATTCACTGTGAGCTTATTCAAAGCCCGGTAATCGATGAATGTCCGCAAAGAACCATTGTGCTTCTTTTGAAACAGCACCGGGGCACCATAGGAAGACTTGAATGGTTGAATGTATCCGACATCGAGGAGATCCTTCAACTGTCTGCGCATCTCCTCCAACTTAAGCGGAGCCATTCGGTAAGGGACTCGAGCGGGTGGCTCCGCATTCGGCACACGCTCAATATTGTGATATTCCTCCCTATTTGGAGGCAACTTCTTAGGCAACTCGACATGCATCACATCTTTGAATTCTGCCAAAACGTGACTTACCACGTTGGGAACTTCCTTGGTTGTGGTTGGCTCATCACACACTAAGACATCTAATAAGGTCAGTTCCACCTTGCGCACCGCCTTCGAGAACTGAATTACGGATAAAACTTTGGCCCCTAATCCGGGCCCTCGGCTCACTGGAACAATGAATTGTTGCTTTAGATCAAGGATGCACAAGTAATTGGCAAAAGGCACTGGGAAAACATTGATCCGGTCCAAAAAAACTTAACCCAAGCACAAAGTCGAAGTCATCAAGAGGAATCACCTTGATGGCTTCCCTTCCGGACCAACCTCCAACGGTTAACTTGATTCCCTTTACGACCCCCGCAATCGAAACTTCTTTGGCGTTGACAGTCTTGATAGAACCACTTGCCTTCTCCACATGAAGGCCAAGTCTCTTGGCAACTTGTTTGGACATGAACAACTCTGAGGCACCAGTGTCCACTAGTGCACTTAATTTCTGGCCAACAACGTTGATGTCGACAAACATCAACCCCTTCTTCTTTCGACCCTTTTTGACCTCCATGGTGCTAAGAATAGAGCCAAGCTTAAGAGTCTCACTCTCCTCCCCATCTTTCTCCTTGATCACCGAGAGTTTATTCTTCTGCGGACAGTCCTTTGCCAAATGCCCTTACAGTTGTAACACTGGATAATCTGCTTGTCTTTCTTATCCAAGTGCTTACCATTCGAGGGTTTTCCTATGCCACTCAAGTCTTTGTCGGATTTGGACACCTTGCCCCTATCTTCACTACTACCTCGAAACTTCGTCTTTGGTTTGGAGTCCACCTTCTTGACGCCAAGCTCAATGATTGACTCGGTCGTCATCAAGGCAACTGAGAGTTCCTTGACACATCGTAGCCTTAGCTCGTTCTTCGCCCATGGTTTCAGCCCATCCATAAAAGGTGAATAACCCGTATTCTTCACTCAAATTTGGGACTTGGAGTATTAGTTCGACAAACTTTTGAACATGCTCCCTCAGTGACCCTTCTTGTTTGAGACGCCTCAACTTGGATCGCGCCTCCTTTTCAACATACTCTGGGTAGAACTGTTCCTTGAACTCTACTTGAAACTCTGCCTAGGTCTCAATGGCAGAGTTCTCACGCTTCACATCGTTGCATCTGCATCGCTACCACATGAAGACAACCTTTGACAAGTAAACACTAGTGATACTTATTTTCTTGACATCCTCCGTGATGCCTGTGGCTGCAAAGTACTAGTCCAACCCCCAAAGGAAATTCTCAACATCCTAGGCGCACCTTATCCCTTTGAACTTCTATAGCTTAGGGATGTCACTCAAGGCTTTAGGTGCAACAGGGGTTACGCTATTTTCGAACGCAGCTTTGCACACCAATAACTCGGTCTTGAGCAATTCGACCTCCCTCTTCAGCTCTATCACCTCATAATCGAAACCCTTACTCTTGATTTCATCGATTTGTTTCCTTAAAGCCACCACCATGGCTTCTAAGAAA